TCTACTGATGATGGTGATGATGCAGGATGATTGATTAGAGATTGAAATTCATTTGTTGGTTCATTTGGTAAAATTTTTACATCGAGTCGTCTAATTTGTGTTGAAGCAAGAACTGTTTGGTCTAGTTTTTCAAATAATGGTTCAATTAATGGTGAAACAGATATTTCTATGCCAGCATATTCACATGTAATATCCGTATAATAAGTTGTTTTATTATCATGATTACTATCATTTAATCGTATACCACTTATATGGTAATAATGTTGAATGAAAATTCCAGTCATAAAGTTTATATGAAAAACGTTTTGTAGGTGCTGTAGTAGTTTGTTTTGCACTAGTTGTACTTGTACGTGGCCGTTTAGAAGAATTCGATGTTGAATATGTATGATGCGGAAGTTCAGCCAATGATATCCAAACATGTTCAATTGAACCATCAAATACATTACTTGATGATGGACTAGACAATATTGGAACAATTGAAGAATTAGTTGTAGCAGTAGACTGTGGAATGTTTATAGGTGAATTTATTGTCGATGGAGGTGTTAGTAATGGCTAAAGATATACAAAAATAAAATGTATGACATTTTCCCGTTTTATGAGTATTATTACGAAGTTCTAATATATCAAAATGTGCTGAACAATTCAAATCAGAAATACTATCTCGTCTGTCTAATAGGCAAGCTTACATGACTATACTACAAAAATAATATGTGTAGTTGGTTTCTTTCAGGTAATGCGTGAGTGAGAAATCCAGTTATGTAATACTCTGATAATTATTTCTTTTAACTTACATCAGTTGATTGTTTTCTTTTTGATTTATGTTTTGATGAAGCTCTTGTTGTTTGTGTTTCATCAGTTTGTGTCATTATTGTTAAAATATTGACATGTTGTTGTTCTTGTTGTTTAGTTGCATTATTAATTAATTTAAAACATAGGCGTTGTAAACCAAATTCATTCATAACAAATCCAACGATTTTTTTATTATTACCAAGTGGTAAATGAAATTATAATTGACACCGTTGTGATTGTATAGCATGAATATTGAAATTTTCAATCAAAGAAAAATCGTTTTCAAATCAACGAAATTGTCGTGTTATTGATAAAATTTTAAAAATGACAGCTGTTGATTGATCACGATTAGATAAAATTGTTTCCATTTGTATTTGTTCACATCAAAGTGCAAATAATGACATTGTAACAATATCAACAGGTGTACGTAATTCAGTTAATTGAATATTATCTTCAGCTAAACCAGCTTGGAATAAACAAACATTAATTTTAGGTAATTGTAAAGATATTTTGGTTGCTGATAAATCAATTGATGTCACAGAAGGATATAATTTAATTTTTGCTTGAACATGAAGACCATCAAGAATAGATATTGGATGAATATCATATGTTTTCCATTTTTCAATATATGTCGTTAAATATTCAAGTATAAGTGGTGTTAAAAGAATATTAAATGCTCCGATAAATCGAAGACATACTTCTCTTTCTGCAGCAATTATACTTGATGCATTTATTGGTGACATTGTTTGAGCAATTGAAAGACATGGTCGAGAACTTGCTGTTGCTGTTGTTGAAATGGTGGAGTAGTAAATAATTGCAAAGATGGAGACATTTCAGATAAATACAAGTAAGAAAAACCTTGAGATACACAATTAAAGTGAAGTATTGGACGATGATCAATTTGATCTTGTTGAATATTTGGTGGGAATGTAACGATATTGGACCATGTTGAAGAACGATAATGAGATAAATAACGAATATATGTTGTACATAAAAGAGTCGATTTTGGTATAGGCATTTTCATTTGATTACGTAACCTTATCCATGACGAACTAGGAAGAGACGGTTGTAGTACAGTATTATATTCCATGTTTGATGAAGTTCCCTAAAAGATAAAAATATTTCTATTATATCTCATCTTTAAACAAATCATTCAATTCTTAATATTTGAAAAGTCTGAATATATTTTTTCAATGTATTTAACTATGTATAATATGAATCGAAGAAACCGAGGTATTTTTTTTTTTGAAAGACTTAAAATCGAAATCTATTAGTCTGATTTGTTTTCTATATGAAATAAGTTAGTTAGTATATTAAATAGTAGAAAAAATAAGTGATGTTGATTTTTGTTTCAAATGATATACATACTTTTTAAGATAGAAATGTTCAGCTATTTCTTGTTTATTGTCTTTGAAGTATTTCTCCTAAGGCTGTTAATAAATCGATTGATGATAAACGTGATTAGTTTGTTGATAGATTTTGTTTATTACCAATTGATGTTAAAAATATATTTAAATCTGAATGCATTGGTGATGATAAAGTTGATGATTGTCGTTGCATCATAGTTAATGATATTTCCATAATATTATTTGTATTATTTAAAGTTGAATTTAAACTTGTGTGACTTGCACTTGTTAATGATAAATGTTCATTAGGTGTTAAATAATCATCACTTCCTAGTGTTTGAGGTGATAATGATGAAACAATATTTATATTATTTAATGGTATTGATGATGATGAACGTTTATGTTTATTTCGTTCAATAACTGATTTATGTTTTAAATTTCTTAATGAAGTAGCACGTGACAATGAATATAAATGTGTTGGTACACTACATCGTAATGGAGTATCATTTATATTTTGATGTTGTTCATTAGATTATGTATGTTGTCCACAAAAATCAAATGGATACAAAATTTCTTCATCATCTAATTCATCATGAAATCGATTAATATGTTCAAATATAAGATGTGAATGTAAAACATGTAACTCTGGATAAGATAATGAATGACCAAATGATGATTGTTCACTAAGACGAAATGTACTTTTAAAAAATTGCTCACCTTGTACAAGTGTATAATAGTTTGTTGCAAAACCAACATAAGATGGACGTTTTAAATTTGTTGATATTGTTGAAATATTTAATGTTTGTTGAGATTTAGAATTATGAAGAAAATGAAGTCGTTGCGAATGTTGATCATGCCGACGAAGAAACTCTAATTGTTTATTAATAGTAGTAGGTGTTGCTAGATGACATTCAAATTTTGCATTAATATGTAATTCAGGAACACTTATTGAACCAGCTTCTAACCATGAACCAGGATAAAGACGTAATAACTGGCGAATTTGTATTGTACTAACTTTTAAAGTTAAGCTCTCATTCCACAATGATGTATGAATATTACACATACATAAACGAATAGGTGCTATCTAAAACAACAAAATTATGAAAGATGAAGAAGTTATATAGAATATTTCTTACTTGAATATTAACAGCATTTCCAACTTCAATGAGATTAAAATCAATTGAATCTAAACTAAATCTAAGTAAATCATATTTAAGTTTTTCAATCCATTTTGCTTTATCAATATATGGTGAACAAGCAAGAGTATATTCATCTTCGGTTATTCGCAAATAAATTTTTTTAACAAAACCTAAGGTTTTTCTCTAACCAAAAAACAATAGAATGATATTATTTACAAAAAAACATTTTTTTATTTTTGATATCTTACCTAAATTGTTCTTAAACTAGCTGAGATTTTACCAAGGATAATTTCAATTTGCCAAGCATATTCAAGTATTTCACGTTCAGGTGGTAAACCTTCATGTGAAAGCATTGCATGATCACGAATAACTGAACCAGATAATTGAAGACATCCGGTAGATACATGTTGATCTGTTTTATTTCTCTAGATGAAAAAGAAAAGAATTGTTAGAGTTATTCAGAGATCGATAAATATATCATGCATATTTATTTAATTAGTAAGATCAAGATACAAATCAGAAGTAATAGCTTAACATGTTGAAATTCGATAATCTCACTTAAATGACTTGACCTTTAGAGTATTTGAGAATTTTCGTCAATAATTAAGCAAATTCGAAAAACATACCATGCTGACATAATCACTTGAATATCGTTGTTTGGACTTATCTAGTTGTTGGTAATAAGTTAAATATAATAACGCACATAACAAAATAATATCAATTTACAATAAATAATTTGATCTAAAATTGAATTCAAGTTGTATTATTTGTTGTCGAGATTAGTTTTAATTTCAATTTGTTTTTCATTATTTTTCTTTTCTTCTTAAAGAATTTTTTGAACAGATATCATTTTTTCAATTGTTTCGTATTGTTCTTTTGTATTTGTTAAATGTTTTTTTGATCTTTTGATTTTGGTTTCTATTAGTTTTAAAAAATGATATAAAATAAAATAAAAAAAAGACAAACTTGATCTTGTTTTTGATTAAATGTTTGTGTGTATAGAATTATTTTCATTAATTTCAATAAATCAAGTAAATGCGTATCGAATATTCGACATTTAATCGGTGAAATATTTTCATTTGCTCTCCGACCTGAAATAAATAATAAATAATAATTTCTCATTTTCTTTCTTACACTAGATGCAAAGATCTTATAATATTTCGAAGCATCTGGATCTATGCTCCGTTTCATAAACATTCATAGGAACAAATTTTCTTGGTTGTTTTGAATATTATTATCTTATCTCTAAGTATTAAATATAATAATTCTGCGTTATTTTACTTTTTCTTCAAACTTAAATACAAGACTGCAGTTATATTATCGAGTGAATCGATATATTTTTGAGTGCGTGTATGCTTTCAACAACCACACTATTCAGTGCTTGTAATGCATTTAATTTTTACTTTAAGTACGACGAATGGTCAATGCATATTGCCTTATTGCTTCACTGATTTTGAACTCAATAAGTCTGTTGTTTTATAAAGTAAATGGATATATCTTTCTGTGCGTTGATCATTTTAACAAACACATGACTGGGTCATGATACACTTTTATTTTATCTTAAAACACGAAAAAGGTCAATGCATATTGTCTTATCGCTTCACTAATTTTAAATATAATAACTCTGTCGTATTATAAAGTAAATGGATATATCTTTCAATGTATTCACCATTTTAACAATCAAATACCGTGATCACGATGCGCTAAGACTAGAATAACTTCAAATGATTTGAAACTGCAAGCTTACATGTCTTGCTCATCTATTGTACATTAGAATAGAAAATTTGTAATATGAAGAGTTTCTTATAATCATAATTTCTTTTCGGTGTTATTTAAATAGAAAAAAAATCATTTGAACTTACTTATTTCTGTATTGTATATTCTTCGCACTGTACATTTTTCGTTAATCTTCTATTTTTCATTTGTTATATTCTTTTCATCAATTCAATTCTTATCTTTATAAAATAACAGTCAAATTTAATAGACTGATTGTTTTTTGATTTATAATACTGTTAAACTTTTCGTTAAAGAGTTAGTTGAAATTATTATTGTTTACTATATTTATAACTTTTAATCTAAGAAACTGTAGATCTTTTTCACAAAGATGATACATTTGAAATAGTAGTCATCTTGAGACTAACTGAGAAATAAAATTCTACATATACGTCAAATACTTCACATCTCAAAATTAATATTTATAAATTCAATTTGAACCATTATATTTTCATGTGTACTCATGTGAGATATCAGTATATTACTGTTCACGTATTCTTTCAGAATAGCTTAACAATTATATGTATATATTTTTGATTTTCAAGATAATAATTGCTCTATTTTTGAATTATCGTTGTATCAGCATTCTGACATTATTAAGATATACAAGAATGTATCCATTTCATGTTTTAATTTTGAATATAGTATATATATGAAGCTGCTGATGAAATACTACTAGTATCAACTTTTTACTAACCTCAAAAAGGTATGAACCATAATAATAGTAGAATACAGATCTATATCTTATTGTTAATATATGACAAGCAAGCAGATTTATCCTGAATATTTATTTAGACATATAAAAAGCATTGAGTATGATTGCAAATCAACGAATTTAATAAGTGATGATTACAATCTAATGTGATAGCAGTTTTTTACTCACTTAAACTATAACTCCTAGCCTTCTTACTTCTATAGCCTTAATTATGCATCTTTTGTGTTTCCAATTCAACTTTCTATCTTAACATTTTTCATTTTCTCAAACAAATAAATTCGATAATGAGATTGTAAGCACTATATCTAGTTTATTTGAAAGAGAACGACAGAAGAGAAGAACAAGAAGAAAAGAAAAGAAAAAAAAGAAGATGATATATTTCATCAACGTATGGTGTATATATATATACATATGTACATGATCGTGTGATCATAGCATACGTTGAACGATGATCATATCGTATATAAATATATTAAAAAGGACTAGTAAAAGAATATCACACCATATATTAAAGATAATAGAACAATCGAGGATGACCTCGATAACAGAAATCCTGTTTATTAAAGAGGTTCGGAGACATATTTTCAATGAAATCTCTAGTATTAAAATCCTACAATCAGATCCGGTAGGATCCAATAGTTGACTGAAATTGAGTTTCTATATTAATATATAATGGTGATTAGATAGATGTTAAATAAATGAGTAATAATTATGATTTTATCATTGAATCCATTAGTAGTCCTATCTGCCGATTTTTTATAAGTTCTTATCAAGTATTAGATCTCATCAGATATAGTGTAAAAGTGATTGAGAAAAAATTAACTAAGAAGGTATCAACCATAATACATGGTGAAAGGATGAATTTCCTTCTATTATTTGCTTCATCCTTATATTATCGAGTTATAATAGAAGAAGAATTGCAAAGCAATATTCACTGTTCAGAATAGGAAGTTTTCGTAGTTAGAGAAGTGAGCAGTAGTAAAAGTTTTATTTGGTATTCATTATTGATAAATCAACCTACACTGTAATATTATCATGATAAAAATGATTATTATAAAGAATATAGAAGAACAACTAGCTAACCATGAAGTTATTGATGTCGTAGCCGCTGCATTTGTTCTTATGCTCAATGTTATTAGGTTTAATGATCATAAGAGAGTATATAGAAAGATATTGAATAAAATTAGTAGAAAAATTTGTAATGCAATTTGATGCAAAAATCGGATACTTGCATAACCCAGAAGAAAACTATGACTCTTTATATTGCATTTATAACATATTACAGAAAAAAAGAACAAAATGCATTTTTTGAATAAATGAAAAGTTTTATCACAAACTAAATGTGATTGAATGATATAAATATCTAAAAATACACACCAGAAATATAAAAAATTAAACAATCTGTCTGAATTAATTTGACTTTTTATCTGTATCTATTCGGATGCGTGTAGCTAAATGTTTTGAAAAACATGTTAAACATTGAATATATTTACCAGAATTATTTGTTGCATCATCTGAATCTTCAAATGAAACTCGGTGCATTAAACTTGTCATAGCAAGTTTCAGTTCAAACAACGCTAAATCTTAATCAATATATGCACGATGGCCACCTCCAAATGACCAATAGGCATACTCCAATGGATCTTAATCCTCACTTAAAAATTGTTCAGATACAAACTTTGTTAGATCAATTTTTTAATAGCATAGATCTCGATGCAGATTATGAGTAGTAATGATAACTGTATCTCCTTTTCTTATAGGTATATCATCACGTGCTGCTTCAAGACTTATGGCTTCAACAATAGGAGCATATCGAAGAATTTCTTTTGTTACACATTCAAGATAAGTCAATGAATCTAATACATCCTATGTTAATTGAGTTTCATCTCTTCAGTTGTTCTTTAGATTCATTTTTAATTTTTTGTTGAATTTCTAGATATTTAGGTATGTAAAAAATCTTGAGGGTGTGGGTGTGAATGAAGATGATAACAACACTCACATCTACACCCACCTTCAAGAAAAAAATCGATCGTTGAATAAAAGCCTACTATCGTGATTCACTTATATGACGTGCATATTACATTGAAAAAACAAACACGTCTTTAATTTTTTCTCTCTATTCTTGGATTAATAAATGTTGAACTGTATTCTAATATAAAATAATGACGAACATTAATAATTTTAGTCTAATTAAGATTACTTATGTGAAAAAAGAATTCTAGTTTTGTTTTTATTGCACGTAAAATATAATTTTTATTATAGAAATTTCACAGATCTATTTGTATTGAAATAATTCTACTAACGTAATTTCTAGGATAAAATTTCATGTATTAATACAAATAAATCTAGATGTAATATTCGATTGGATATACAACATAAATGTAAACATTGTCGTTGACTTAAATATTTTGGATAAGGTTAAGAAAAATTGAATTATTTTTATTTAATAAATTTTAAGAATACATAAATATTTTATAACTAGAGAAAATACCCGATGGTTATTCAGATAATGAGACTTGACATGCTTAGCGTGTCAGAATTATTGGCCAGTTCATATTGGATTACCTGTGGAAAGCACAGGATGGTCATAGAATACGTAGAACATATAGAATGTTGTGTATGGGCACTCAGACGGCCTTCGGCCGCCTTCGCTACTTACCCGCTGCAATATTTTGATACCCTGCATTCCTATTGGTCAATTCCATAGATCGCCTGTAGCAACCGTATAATTCACTTTTTTTCAGAACAAAGTATATGTCGACCTTCGTTAGGACCCAAGAAAGCATTGTGGAAAGTTTGGTGATCGTAGCTATATTAGAAGTACCTGGGTGAAATTTCACCCACGCCCCCCCCCCCCCCCCCGATGACTAACCAACCCCATGTCGACCTTCCTTGGGACCTAAGGAAGTATTGTGGAAAGTTTGGTGGTCGTAGCTATTACCGTTGCTGAATGCATAGCGAACAGACAAACAGACAAACAAACATTCATTTTTATATATATAGATGACATCTGAACAAAAATCAATAAATACCAGTTATCAATCAGTGCGAAATAAGTAAAATAAATTTTCATTTGTCGGAACATATTGTTTTCACTACGGTTGATAAATCATGTTTAACACATATAAAAGATATTTATTTATCAACTTTAAAATGTAATTTATATAATTCATCTATTATTTTAAAAGAATTCCCATACATGATTCATTTAGTATTTGATTCAAATACTGGAATTATGGTATGATAATCGCGATAAAAAATAAATTCAGTATCATTATCAGATTAAATATTATCTCAATAACTAAAAAGTTTATATATTATTAGTTATGGTTATGACTCATAAACTGATGAAATTAATTGATAATTGATATTATTATTTTTCTTAAAGATTTATCATTTGGTGAAAATCAAACATCCATATTGATTAATAATAAAAATGTTCTTTTTTATTTTCAATCAAAATATATTGATTTAAATATTCGTTACAGCAATATCTCTCTTTTTCTTTCTTATTTAGTTTCTGTTAGACAATTCGAGATTAATATGTATAGGTCATTAGTAATTGTCCCCTATTGTTTGAAGTCTATATTTTCCATCGTTAATGGCGACTATGTGCGATCAATTATCTGCTCATTTTATCGTTCAGTAATCGTCGTCATCAATGGATCGCTCACTACAAGAAGATCGTCACATAATCTATTCA